AACAATTTTAATGATTATTAAAGTATATTATAGTAAAAGTTAAAGTACATATTTAGTACATTGGGCATTATACTGTATTTACCATGGTTACTGCTAATATTATAAACATGACAAATATAAATCCAAATCATATACAAAAATGTACGTAAATAATAATAATAATACGAATTTCTGTCTGATGTATTTACCAGAACTTACATTTTCTCAAGTATAATCCTCCCTCTCCCAAAGGGAAATGGAGTTTTCTCGGAAACTGTTTGGTTACAAATTGTTTGATGTCGGTTACAATTAGTTACTAAAAGGTTGCTAAATTTTGAAACTGGCCTGATGTAAAGTGAACAAAGTTGAGGAAGCAACTTCACACACGTCGTGCTGTGTGGTCGGCGGCCAAGGCGACTTTCGGTCAAATTGTTAACATTTCACTCGATTATAACTTATAAGACTTATTTCCATTTAAGTGTGTTTATTTATAACTTCATAGTACATCTGTTCACCAAAAAGACCGATGCTCTATTGCATTATATATATATCGTCATCACTGAACCATGTCAATATTGGAAAATAAAATACTATAGTTTCTATAGGTGCAAAAAATATATACAAATACTGAAATACACCTCATAGACCACACAAGTTTTTTTTTTTTTTTTATTTATTTGAGATAAACAATCTATACCTTAGGGGCACAATAAGTTTATATGGTTAGAGTAATTTACAACATGATACGCTTGACGTGAGAAGTCATCCACTAATGACACTCGATTGATTGATTTTTTTTTTTTTTATATTTTTGAATAATTAGTTAAACAACTGATGCTCAGTCTTTGAATTAGTTGAGGGGAGGGGGGTGAAAAAGTAGGTCACGACACCATTTACGTTTTAAACGTCTGGGTGGGTTTCCAGGAATGGAATGGACTGCAAGATTACGTATTAGCGGGTTGCTATTTGAGGAAAGACGATTGTGGAAGCGTTGGTAATGAGCTATAGCTTCTTCATGTACCAGTTTTATTTTTAGATCAGAGTGTATAGTGTGATTTGAGACGTAAGGAGGAGCGTTTAGAAGTTTCCTAAGTGCTATGTTTTGAAAAGTTTGTATTTTGTTTAAGTTTGATTTTTTTGCATTACCCCATAACTGTATGCCATAAGTCCAGACTGGTTTGATTAAAGATTTGTATATGAGCAGTTTTGAGTTGATATTAGTGAATTTGTTATTGTTAATAAATGTTTTAAGAAGGCGTAAACGAGAGTTTAAGTTTGTCCGATTAGACTTAATATGGTGGGCCCAGGTTAATCTACGATCTAAAGTTAGTCCAAGATATTTAACTGTTTGAGAGCTTGAAATAGGGATGCCATGAATGGAGACAGCTGGGCAGAGAGAAGGTCTAAGGGTAAAAGTACAATGCATGGATTTGGACTGGTTTATTTTCAACCGCCAGTTGGTGTACCATTCTTCCATGAGGGAGAGGTGATTTTGAAGCTGGTGGGAGGCAATAACCGGGTCATTATTTATTGAGATTATTGCTTTATCGTCAGCATAGTCGGCGACTAGCGTATTCGGGGAGGTTGGTTGATCAGAGGCGTAGATGTTGTAGAGCACAGGCGAAAGGATTCCACCTTGTGGAACGCCTGCCGATATTTTAGCTATACTGGAGAGGGTTTCACCTAAACGAGTACTGAAATATCTGTCAGAAAGATATGATTTAATTATCAGGAAGTATACAGGATGTAAAAATTTTTTCAATTTGAAAAGGAGCCCATGGTGCCAGACCCTATCAAATGCTTGCGAGACCACACAAGTAAAAGACATTTTCAGCAATGTACTTATTTATAGTATTATGGAATCACGAAGAAACCCAATATTTACCCAATAATATAGTTACGTGCCGGTGAATTAATAATCCCTGGGTAATGCATTATTGAATCTTTCATGATGATACGGGTGACAAAATAATTTTAGTGCTATCGATGCACTAGGTAGATAACTACTAAGTTAAATTGTTATACTGTACTTTATAACAGTTTAAATCGCGATTTAATGGAGCTTATGCAGACTGATTTTGGTTAGAGGTTATTTAATGTTTTTGAGATATTTTTGTGTATCTGATGCATAAATAGTTTTAAAAAAAATTCTAGACAGGAAGTGTGGGCTGAAAATGCATATACACATAGCGCACAATAAGAAGTAAGAACTAAAATACAAATGCACATACGAGTCATTTCCTGTTTAGATAAATCGTTTTATAGTTTTATATTTATGTCTATGTCTTACGTAGATATGGATACATCTCACCCGAAATCCTATGCTTTCATAGTTTTATCTTTAGACGTTTTAAAAAGATATACATTGAACGCATGCATTTTTAATTAAAATTCTGTATTCAAAATGAATACTTAAAAAGCGGACGACCTAAGACACGGGTTTGATCGTCGAGTTCTAGCAATTGCATGATCGCGTGTCGCGCATTATAAGTACCTAGAAAACTAGAGAACAAAATAAAATAAATTTATTATAATATTATACAATATACATCAATAATTATAGAGGTTGGCGCGTTGCTGGTTTTCGTATAGCCCGTCAAAGTTGTAAAACCCATCACATCTGTCATAAACTGCTGCGTGAGTAGTAATAATGATCATAAAAACCGTAATAAATTTGTCGCCATCCTTATTTATGTGATCATAAATACGGACGTAAGCGATTAGGTGATCAGAGACCATTATTTTAGTACAAATTATAACACATAACCATAATATTATATGATACGTGGAGTATAACAATATAATAATAAAAATGGAAGTATGTTTTGTATAATGATATCGTATGAGCATAGATAATATAATAATACATTTAATATTTAAATGTAAAATAGTAAAATAGTAAAGCGTATATATAACAGAAAAAATGCCAATCTCTTGTTTCATCCAGATTAAATATTTCAATAATAAAACAAAAATATGAAATATAAGAAAACCAATATAGGTAATATAATATTATAATGTTATGTACACCGAAGACTAAACTGACAATAATACCGAAAAGAGGTACCAAGATTTATTCCAATTAAGATATGATGGGTACATCCGTATTTAGATATACTAATTATATGGTATCAAGGTTAATAGATTATATTTATAGGCTATAAACTATAATTATAACTGTACCTAACTTGTATATATTTAAAAAAATAAAAAACTGAGTAAGTATATAAGTAAGCCTTTACATAGGTATATGTAAAAAATTGGTACTTTAATAGGTTATAGTGGCTATACGTATATTTGTTTCTCATAATATTGTAATTTATAAGAAAACGTTACGTAATATCTATAGTTGCCCAATGCCCAGGTTATCAATAATCGTCTTTAAGACCTTTTAATATTGCCCATGATAATACTAGCTATATTTTGAATTTCATGTGCTGGGTTGCATGAAAAATGTGTTAATATTAAAATGATTCAATAATATTTAATGGACTATTAGCTCACTATTGATTTATTAAATATTTAGTGATTTTTGCTACTTGTTGAGTTCAATCTGACAATGGTAGTGAATATCAAGAGCAACCACAAGGGGACTGTTGGACCTGAAGTACAGGGGCCAGGCTACTTTACGGGCCAGTTGAAGTGAATTTGTAATTTTTTATATTTGGTAACCTGGAATACTTAGGAAAAAGTAATAATTTATTAGTAATACTAATAAATGCAGTGTTATAAAATATTTTATTGAGGCCGTAAAAACATTTAGCACAAGGGCTCAAAATTTGAAGTTGGAGACCTATTTCTACCATAGGAATATCATTGCCAATACTTTTTGTGTTATGATTTTATAAAATAAGGAAGTAACCACGCCCACCTTGTACTACCATGGGAATATCGGATTTTTCTGTGAATGGGTGAAGTTGCAAATTGTTGCAAATGAGATACAAAATATTGGTGAAGGTTCGAGGTTGATACGACAATGTGGGGAGCTGCCCTCTCCTACTAAAAAAAAATATTACTTCAAAAAAATTGAGGTATCAATTAGTTCCAAATAAGTTCCAAAATATTGGTGAAGGTTTGAAGTCAAAAAGGCAATGTGGGGGGCCAATTTCACGCCCGTCATCTATATAGCTTATGTATTATATACATACATCTTTGTAAAGTAATACTTATCTATTCATTTAGTACATATATATATATTATATTATATATTAATATACAAATCCTTATATGAATATATGCATATATATTATGTATTAATTGCATAGTAGTATACTGTATACATATAAGAATAGGTGGATTTTCGGGAAAATTGAAGGGTTTTATTTATTTATGTTTGAAAATATGAGTTTAATTATACAAATATACTTGATTTTTTATTTTGTTAAAAACGTCGATTTAATTAATACAATTTAATGAAATATTAATTAATGAACTTAAAAAATTTGAATATATAATTATTAAATTTTATATGATTTAGACGGTAAATGTATTATTACTTTTCGGTATTTTAGACTCTCAACAAAAATATATTGTGGGTTTAAGGTCAACTTTTTTTAATTTCCCCTGACAACAATGTATGAGGAACCTTCTATTCAAATTTCAAGTTTTCTGACCGAGCGAATTTGCATCGTCGAGAATTAAAAAAAACTAATGAAATTCGAAATTTGCTTATGTCTATAAATAGCATAAAAACATTCAAAATATTTTTTAAATTGTAAGGTGCATAGAAAATGTAAGTATAAGCATTCGGTGAAAACTAATAATATGTAGTTGTTTTGTACATTCAAAACAATTCAAGATTTTACAAAGGGGTTATTACTTATTACTTATTATATAAATAACATGTTAACATTCCTCTTTGTATTTTTATAATATCGACACATCGTGATTCGTAGTTTTACAGTTCGCGCAGTTGTGCAATCATGTGGGTTGCAGATATAAAAGTCTCAATAAATACTATGACTATTTTTTAGTTTTTACAATCAGAATATTTATTATAAAAATAAATTAAAGAATTTCAAATTATTCGAAAAATGCCTATTAATTGTTCTGAAATTGAAATTAATTTTAATTCGACAAATTGTACGTCGATTAGATGTTATGATTTAACCGACTATAATTTTTAAAAAAAATGTGGGGTGGGTCATATTTTTAAGTAATTACGTACATAGAGTGAAAAAAATACCATGGTGGCAGGGTTGAACACCCAAACCCCCACCACATGTGCTCGCCACTGGAACACATAATGGCAATTTCATCCTCAATAGGCTATCGTACAAAAAGTTCCACGAGTCCAGTCCTAGGGCCGATCCCTGCGATACTCCGCATGATGTGACACTTGTCGTATTTGATGTCTTCTTCTCCAGCCTTAGTTTTCGGTTGTGTAAGTATAATTTTAATATCTTTACTTCAGATATTCTGGTAAGCTTTTCCTCACCGAGGACTCAATGATTTTCGGCTATGAAGCTGTGTTAAATGCGTTTTTAACATTCGGAGTAGGTAACCAGCCTGAGCCTTACCAGTTTCTTCCCAGTCCCAACTCCCAGTATTTGCCTCCACCAATGGTTTCTTTCTCTAAGCGCTGTGCACTAGTTAATAGCACGGTTTAAAACATATTTTAATGTTTATTCAAATATATTTTAATTCCTGGTTTACCTATAGGTCTATAATCATGGGTTTAAGAGGATGCTACACCCGCATGTGCTGTCTCCCGGTCTCCGTCTCACAAACGTACAACATAATATTATCAAAAACTTTTTTGTGCGAAATAAAACCACTGAAGCTGTCAACCAAATTTTCACACTGTAAACAAGAGAACATTTACTGTATCAAATCGTTTTTATTTTTTCGATATCACAAATGCAAGCAGTTATTCAAGTTTGAAAAATTAATTTAAAAGCAATAAGAACTTACTATATTATAGTATGTTTGAACGAGAAAAATGAACTTTTTTGATAAGACTGTACGAACGTTACAGTTTCAAAATCTGGCAACACTGACCACGCGACACAGATAATAATAACACAATATAGAATAACTGAATAACATTTTAGTGTATTTATATTATGCCCCGCGATAACCGACAACTGTAGAACCGGACGGACGTGATAGCAACACTACACGATTATTGTACTATTATTATTATGATCTAGGTATATTAAATTTAAATATAATACCTATCACGAGTTCACGACATTATACAGTATAGTACAGTAGTACACTACTTAGCTGGGCACAACAAACGATTATTGCGAGGACAGACCTGTTGACGGCCATTGATACTAGTACCCTTGTAATAATTATTATTACTTCACTGGTTGTACGTCTTTACTCTTTACGGCTATTCGGTGGTTACATCTAACTTTAAACGAGTTTTTTTTTTCATGAGTGACATCGAACGCTTTAGAGATGTCAGTTTCGACTTTCAGGTGAGTTTTCCCCACGAATGATCACATTATGATGTTTCGTCTTCACTCTGTTGTTATAATTATTTTTGCTGTCGTTGTTTTCGTGATTGTGTAACTTATTTTTTCTCGTCCACAGCAAAACCGACGAGTACGGTTTCGTGCGTCCTGACGATTTCGATTATGTGGAGTATGAAAAGTTCATGTCCGCTTACTTGAATATACTTACTAGACGTTCAATGAAGTGGGTTAGCCTTTTGATTTACAATTCACAGCTGAAGAGAAACGCTAAACTAAAAAAGTTTGTACGCTCAGGAGTACCATTGATTCTTAGGGGACCGGTTAGTTGTACATCAATAGATATAATACTTTAAACTGTTTGTATGGTCTTACAGTATGCAACTTACTCGCATGTTTTTTAGACGTGGATATCTGTCAGTGCAGTGCAGGAGTTAAAGGACAAGTATGGGCCAAATTTGTATAAAGAAATGCTAAACAAATCTATTAATGAAGATATCAAGAATATAATCACAGTTGATGTTCCACGAACATATCCAGACAACATTTTTTTTCAGCCAAATTCTGAAAATCAAAAAACATTATTTAGGATACTATGTGCATTTGCAGCATGTAATCCAGATGTAGGATACTGTCAGGTATATTTTAACTTTTTATGTAATTTAGTGCTCCTAAATTTCTTCACTTGCCTACCTATAATGTTTTTTGAAATTATTTTATTTTACTATATATCTACTTGTCAGGAATAATGATTAAGTGTATCTTTAAATTTTAAAACATAAAGAACAGTAAGCATTTCTAATTAGGTAATCTAAGACAATTGACAGTTTACTTTATTAACATTTTAATTTAATTTAACTTCATTAAACTACAAAACAAATCAAAAAATGCAAACAAGTAAATTTTATTCAATATATTTATTAACATATAAAAAGTAAAACTACCTATAGAATTAAAGTAAATTCAAGCAAAAAATATCTTTATTAATTCTAATAAGTAAGTATAGTTAAATAGCTCATTAATCATTAACAATAAATATCCAATACCAAAAGAAGGAGTTTTGAGTCCAAAGGTAACTATTAAGAGTATAATAATCTCTATTCAAGACCAGTTGACTTTAAATTGTGTCTCAAAATTTTTATAATGCAAGATTGTTGGTACTTTTTGGTTATCGTACTACATTGGCCGATGGTGGCAACCAGGAAATACTAGTTCTGTCATCATACTGAATGGTATTTTAAATAATCAAACTATCTTGTGTTATAAGTATGACTTCTTTATTTTATAATGTATTGATTTAAAATATAAAATAGTTTATACCATGTATGTATTTTTTAGTAAAATATGAATACGAAGTAAAAATATTTATGAAGAGACTTGGAGTTCATAATGAATTTTATAATTTACGTAAATCAAGTTATTACTTGAATGTTTTTGTTGCCAAAGAAATGCATGTACCAACCTATTATGTAAGAATCTAACATAGACTAATGAGCACCAGATTGTATTTTATTTTGTTTCTTGGTGAAGCACCATAGGCGCTCAACATTTTGAGTATGTATATTTCTGATGGATTCTCATAATATGTTTAAATGAATTTTATTCTTTAAAGAATCATGGAAAATAATAAGCTGGCAGAATCAGGATATTCACTTTACATAGGTGTAACAGTGCTAAGTATGTATTGATATTTAACATATGGATAGGCAATTTTGTCATCTCTAAACATACACCTTCAGCGGTTTTAGGCCAGTATAACAAAGATAAAAACCAATGTATTTCACTTCAACAGAAGCATTTAAGCGATAAATAAACGTAACATTTAAATAAGAGAGGAATTAAATGTATAACAATGTTACAGTTAACAATGGTATATTAGTATTGTTGTGTTGTCTTTACAGATTTATATATAATGCTATTATCCATAAATTTAATATCAATGGGAGTATGATAACGAAAACCGTGATTGCCGCTGGAGTACAATAAGTGAAAAGTACCAATATTTTATTTTATATAATATTCAGTATTCTGTAATTAAAAAAATGTGTTTTGATATTTTTTTATTAATTTATTAAAGAAAAACCTGGCTTATACCCAGGATGCATAATATTATATGTTAAAAAAATAATAATATACATTTATATTATGACAGTTGATAGTAAAAGATAATATAATATAATTAAACATATTAAAGACTACAGTATTAAATAAGGAATGATTAACTGTCATTATTTTAGTTGGAACACTCATTTGTATACTTAGCCCTTAATTTACTTTAAGATATAAATTTCATACAGTGATAAAAAAAAAATTGTGTACTACTTTAAATCAAATATTTGTGTAGGCAATTATATGTTTATAATTATGACTCATTACTTCACAACATTTTAAGTTTAATAAACTAAATTACTGTCAAATCAAATAAAAATTATTTTTTGCAGGGTTTAAATTACATAGCTGGTTTATTGCTATTAATTACTAAAAACGAAGAATCTTGTTTTTGGTTACTGAGAGTATTGGTGGAGAATATACTACCAGACTATTATTCTAAGACAATGGATGGTGTCATTGTTGATATTGAAGTTTTTTCACGCCTAGTAAAGTAAATAATAATATTTATTATTTTTTATTATAAATTGTGTGTTAAACAAAACAAAATAATGTATTTGTTCATTTAAATTATACTGTGAACCTAATTTGAATTTTTTTTTTAGAAAAAAATTTCCTGAAGTGTCTAAGCATATGACTGATTTAGAAATGCCGTGGGCACTAGTTGCTACTAAATGGTTTATTTGCCTTTTTTCCGAGGTTTTACCAATTGAGGTACTAAATTGAATATTGTATAATATATTTTACTATACTATTCCGAAGTATGATTTTGAACAAGACTTTCCATTTTACTCGTTTTTAATAAATATTAAATATTGATGATTGGCCACCTCTTTTTGTGTAATTAAAATCATTAAATCAGCTTTACTTCCACTTTACAGCCATTCTTTTCTGCTTTAAATTTTGACCTATTCAGTGTCACCACTATTCTAAACAGCTCATCAGTCATTAAATATTATTAAAGCAGTGCTTCAATTTATTAATTCTAACTGTTTTGGTATTAAGTACTTTTCTTCAAAAGAAAGTCTACAGTTAAAGGGGAATAAATATTTATTCTTTTCATTCATATTTAATCATAGATATTAATCATTTACATAAATAGTTAACATATTAAGTGCTAATATTTCTATTTTTATACTTCTAACTTTTATTTAGTTTTGCCTGTGCTCTAGTAATGATAATAATTTCATTAAAAAAAAAAATTTATCCGCCCATTTATTAAAATTAAATTAAATTAAACAAAACCCTTTAAACTGAATTATTTTTCTTTTATAAGAAATATAGGATAATTATGTGTTTATTTAAGTCTGATATGTATTTCATATTATTACAGCTTAATTTTTTTTTTAGACTACTTTGAGAGTTTGGGATTGCTTATTTTATGAAGGATCTAAGATTTTATTCAGAGTTGGTTTAATGTTGGTAAAACATTATAAAAAAGAATTGTTGGCATGTGAAGACATTGCATCATTGGCAGAATGTTTCAAGTCAATTGTTCAACGGCCATTTCCTCTAAACTGCCATATATTCATTAAAGTGTGTAATTTGTTGATGTTATATTTATGTATACTGTTAAAGTAAAAATGAATTTTTTTTTTTTATTAGCAAATGTTTACAGAAATTGGATCATTACCTATGTCTTTGATTATTGATCTGCGCAAACAAGTATCTGCGGAACGTGATGCTGATAAATCTACCTTTAAAAATAGGAAAGGCTGAAATTGTATAGCTATTAATTATTATAAGAGCTTTTGAAATGTTTGTACAAGTTCTAGTCATATTATATTTCTATGTTGTAACATGTGGCCTATATTTAGCATTTTGAAATCAAAGTTTTCAATAACTTATAAACTCAAATGTATAATTTTATAAGTATTATAATAAACTGTAAGCAGCACTACATAAATTGGTACCTATCTATGTTTGTTATAAATATGTTCTGTTACTTAAAATCATTTCTTGTTGGTTTTTAATGTTCTTATTGTATGCATTATGATCAGTCTGTGGCTGTGGTGTTTTATACAATGTTTAAATAGCCAAAACAATCTTTTGTTACATTTAAGTTTCAACTATTTCAGCAATACAAGCCGTCTTGTAATAATGAGTAAATGAAAATTTAAACAAACTTAAAACAAATGATTTTGTATTGTAACATATTTTTCTCTATGATTAGTGTTATTTTCGAATTTTTATAACTTGTATCTCTAAGAGCTAAAAAATGACATTTATTTTTATCAAATAATCTGAGTATTTTTATATACTTCCACTAATGGATCGATGTGTGACTAAACATATCTGTACAATTGTGTAATCGAAATGTATCAGTAATTATTATTTTAAGTGTTTGCCATAATATTATAGAGATGTTATATTTTATATACAAAAATAAATTCAATTTGATATGATTTCATCGTTATTTTTCACAATAAAATGTAAACAGCCAACATATTTCTTTGTTTTTACTTTTTTTGGATGTCTATGTACTGGTCAGCGTAACAGACATCTTTAATCTGCTTATTATGAACTAGGTTTAAATAAAAAATATACTGCAAGAAACCAATATTAATTTAATAAGTTAGTAAAATGGAAAAAAAATCAATAGGTTGCAAATGTAATCTAGTTAGGTACGTAATTGTTGTTTAAAATTATTAATGCGATATTAGTATAGATATATAAATATTATAATTATTCTGGAACAGAAATAACAAGAAAACGTTCTCTATATTTAGAGTATAACCTTAGGTCTAGGATACCGTATTGAAGTCTCCTGAGTCTGTCGATTTCTCGATTGTTAAACTGGGGTGAGTTTTTACCACGCTCAAATGTCAAAAGTGGTACATATCAGTAACCACACAAGTGGTCACTGGTTATGTGCGTTCACATTACACAGCAATCTGCTGCAGCTCCGATGAGCGGTATAGGCAAATATCGAATAACAGCTGTGACATTGTAATATATTTTCGTAAACGATTTTTTACGATTTTTTCCAATTCTTTTTTCCAGGTCTAAACGACCGCGGTTATTGCAGGACACCTCGGAAACTTAAAAGAACGCCACTCTGAGGAATTTTTTTTGTAAAATACTAAATATTAATAAATACAGTAACTTAGGTACAACATCATCAGCCGAGAGCCGAGACAATCACAATGGTTACATCATAGGTAGGTTTATACAATATTATAGATTGTTAGTTTTATAGAATTTTACACTACAGCCGCAGTAAATATAGTTATTACTTATTAGGTATGTTCCTAATATTGTATATGTATTTATATATTATTATGATAGACTATCGTTGATAGTTATATAATATTATAATAATATGTACATAATACCATTTAATCAATACACGTAAGTATAGCCGCATATCCCGTTAGGTTATAACGCGATAGTGTAGGTATACAATTGCAATACCTACTGTCTACAGAGGACTATACTTCAATACTTGTGTTGTTTTTTTAAATATAATATATCGATGTAGAAACACGGTTGTAGACGTGTAGTGTTAATAATGTATTTGTTTAATTTTTTTGATAGCTATAATAACAATAATACAATTGTAGACGGTAAACAATGGCTGGCGACCAGGCCCGTTTAATCTCTCTCGGCGCGCGGCGTGTCATACCTATTTGAATATTATGAACGAGTGACGACCGATAGTTAACTTTTTCTCCGAAAGCTTTAACCGCCGTATAACTTCCAACCATTTCATTCCGCCATCGATGGAAAATTATTATCAAAAAGAGCCAAAATATTTTTAACATTATATCATTTCTAGTAAAAGCTATATTGTTGGTGATATTGTTTTCACTTGGAAAAAAAGAATTATTTTTGATCAATAATGTTTAAAAAATGTATTCACAATCTTTCCCGGTTAATACCTTATTGACCAAGGCTATGAATTTAATGCCCTTAAAAACTATTAAATATGCATACATATTATATGCGTTAAAAACTGAAAAAATATGTATACAAATATGCTCTAAAAATTCTAAAAATATGCTCTTATTTTTCAATAATATACAAAAAACCTCAAAGGTGTAACTTTTATTTTTATTTTTTTATTAATTTAAATTTAAATATTAGTATTTTTACATATTGATATGAGTATATGACTTACTGGGCTTGACAGTCCTGATCTTCGTCGTATACAAGATAAATTAAGCATTGGAGACTTTTTGAAAGCTGTGTCTAACAATATAAGAAAACGAACCTGACTATAATTGTATTATAATTATTATATATATTTTTTTATCTGACTAATTTATATCATATTATATTATTATAATTACCTATATTTTTTTTTTTTTATAATTTTTAAGATTTAAAAACTAAATGGTTGATTTGGGAATTTTTTCCGCGGATTTTTATTACGGATTTTTATTATTCTCTTAATCGGAATAAAAATCTCCGACCTCAGAAAAAAAATCAAAAAAAATATTTTTTTAAACTCTAATTAGTGTAATTACCAACATTATTAATATTTAATTACAAATATATACTTATAGTGTAGTAATATATACTTGAAGTCTTAAAATGTAGAAAATGTTCAATTTTTTTAGCCAAGGATTGAAAATTGAAAATATTACCTATGTTTCTTATAATATTTTGAATATAACATAAATAAAATATTGTTAGGAAGCTTTACAAGTTTTACTTTATATAGATGAAATATTTAAAATATTATAAAATAAAAATAAATTATCAAGCAATAGTTAATGGATGTAGGTAGGTACTGAAAAAAAAACAGTTATCACTGGTGAAACACAAATGCGTACGGCCTCTACCGACATACGCAATCGTAAACATTTAATGTTAGCCTTTGATGCCCGAGGCTAGGGAGGCGCATTCTGGACCAATAACCTAATAATTTACTTTTCCTTTCGGTCAGGCCTGTTAGGGACTTTGGCAGAGAGCGACATATTAGTAAAAGCCTTAGGCATTTGTAGGGCGGCACTTGTGCTAAATTCGGCTCTACCAACAAGCTTGATAGGTGCATGCCTACTGCCTATTAGTAGAGTTCATGTAGATTTTGAAGCTCTAAAAAATTAGAAAAATAGCCATATACATATAAATAAGGCAATAAAGCACTTAGAATCCTCTAAAAAAGAATTATACAATTAGTTTTTTTAAGAACTATTACTATATTACCTACTTTACGTTATATTTATGGAACGTACAATATAGTTAAAACCGTTTTTGCGCTGCATAGAACCAATCAGGCTGTAGTAGAAGCTAAACAACCAATTTTTCACACTATAAACCACAGAACATTTACTGTGGAACATCGTTTTTAGTTTTTCGATATCACAAATACAAGAAAAGTTCTTATTGCTTATAAATTAATTACTTCAAACTCGAATAACTTTTCTTGTATTTGTGATATCGAAAAACTAAAAACGATGTTGAGCAGTAAATGTTCTCTTGTTTACAGTGTGAAAATTTGGTTGCTTAGCTAGGACTACAGCTTGAGTGGTTCTATGTCGCGCAGAACAGTTTTTGATATGTTGTACGTTTGTAAAGATGGATACAACACATGCGGGTGTAGCCGTAGAGTCCTCTTAATTAATTTAGGTATCTTTATCATTAGTTGCATTAAAAGATTCACTTTTTTTTAAGTTTTCAAACAAAAATCTTTGTCGATAATCAAATAATATTTGTTTATATTTTGAAAAATGACGTTCTACGTCAACTGATGAAGTTTGATTTCAATTTGATTTAAAATGTAATAATAAATAATACTATAAGTATGTTTTTTGTACACAATTAGTAGTTACTCTAAAATAGATTAAAGTTCTAAAACGTTAGATATTAAAAATTATAAAAAGCATAAAATCCAAAATTAGCATTTATTCTACGAAACAGGCGTAAACAGCTTATAAGGATTCGTTTTGAACTGGTAGAAAAAAAAAACAAATGCCATCTAAAGCCGTACTTAATACGGATATTAGTTTAATAAGCGCGTAAACAACGAGAAAGATCGACCGAGACGTCCGCGTGGAGCATAATAGCAATAACAATAATATCATAATTAATTAAACATAGGTAGGTACCAGGTAACCATATATTATTATGCCTCGGCATTACAGACTGATAGGGTGCCTACCTACACGGCTATACATACCTATTTTGCAATGATGTTGCGGTGGAATCGTTTCACGTGAGCCGTATAGGTAATATTTTATTAACGTTACGAAACGTCACGTTCGGCCATTGATAAACAGCCGCAAAACTAATGTTACATTTATTTATATAACTATCGTGCGATAAACGAAAATTAATTATACACTTATGATTTTTTTTCACTCTATCAGTGTTTTTGTTATCGTCTCAATAATATACTCGGTTGTTCTAGTAAATTACTAAATTCTATAATATGTATAAATTAATAGAATTACTATTAAATATTAATTTATGTACGGCACTACGGCCGTAGATTTATTTTGCATACGACAATATATTATTAATTCTCTACCGAGGTTTAAACGCTTGTCGATGGTGTAACATTGAGCGGCGCCGTTTTATGTAATTTATCATTCCTTTACACGTTTAAAGAGATCAATTTCACTCTAATAATTGTAACCTGATCATAATGCATTATAATATGGACGTATCTGTTATAAAATTGGTATATTTTAGTTATATAATTTTGTTGAGATGCAATTGATTTATATTTAACCGGTATAATTAATAAGTATATCAATTCAAATTTTAAAAATGTATTCTATATTATTTTTACTCGGGTCATACACCATGCATGTATATTCGTTACTCGTATAGCCGTATGTACTTTAATTTGACATAAGTACTTCATTTGTGAGTAAGTTAGTTCACTGAAGATCTAACTATCGAAGCTGAGGTAGTGTGGTATATTATATAGCTGGTATTTTGTAGATGTCCAATATTGCAACTTATTGAAATTTGAATATTGTAAATATCTGAATTCTGGAAGTAATATTTTATAAAAATCCGATTAAGAGGACGTGATACCCGCATGTGTTGTCTCCGTCTTACAAGTGC